AGTTTTGTGGAAAATGTCAACGTCTAAGTATGCAAAATGGCGTGAAAGTCGCTGTAATTTTTGTAGATTTTGTAGAACTGTTGAATAATAGACCTCTGTACACTGCACTCTTGCACGTTTCAACGCACGTATCAAAATTGTAACTCAGTTGAAAAATTCGCGAAGTCCATATTTTATCAAATGTATCTCAGTTGAGAAACGAATATTTTCGCAGAAATAATGGTTTCTCAACTGAGATACTTGATTAAAATATGGGTTGTATCTCAGTTGAGAATATAATTTGTATCTCAATTCAGTTCAAACCGTTGTTTCACTCTTTTGTTTAATTTTAGAAAAAACAGATGAATCAACTGATGATGCAAAGAAGACTAGTGATGAAGTGACGGACTGGACTAAGCAAGACGCTCAAACAGTCAAAGAACCAATTGCTGATCAAATAAATGATGTGTCGACTCACACAGCTGATGGTGTTGAAAAGAAAGTGGAGGACTTAGCTGATTCGTCAATTAAAACTGCTCAGGATACAAACGAGAAGGTAGCTGATCAAATAGTTGAAGCGGAAGAGGCTGATGAGAAGAATGTTGATGAAATAAAACAATGGGCTAGTGGAATAGCGTCTGAAGGTAAACATTTCATTCTAACTTGGAATGGACTTAAGCAATAATTATTGTATTTTTACATTTAGGTATTGAACAAGCAAAGCAAGTAACGCTTGATGCTAAAGATGTAAGTTACTCAGTTAATAAAAAAACCTTTACCGATGAAAGTGGTTGAAACGCTGCTAATGCCAACTTGTGATCAACTAATTCAAGCAATAATTTATCCGTTTAGGTACTTGTTAATGTTACTGAAAAAACAAAAGAAGTCGTAAATGACGGATTAGAAAAGGTAAGTTACATATTTAGTATTTAACGAAAGTGGTTATAATCGCTATTTCCCATCTAATGGTTATGTACCCTAATAATCCATTTAAATATCTAGGCTCAGGAAAATATTACTCATGTGGCCGAGGTAACCATGGATAAAGCACAAGAAGCATTAAATACAACCAAACAAGTTGCTGCTGATGGTGAGTGTCTTGTTTTGTCTGTCTCTCCCTTTTCTGTACATCGTCCTTTTTCATAGTCTTCATGAAAACTAATTCATATTGTATTCTAAATATTTTAGTCCAAGATGCAACTGTGGACAAATCTGAACAATTAGGTATCGCCGTGTCCAATGCTGTTGAATCAGTTAAACAGGGAGCTATCGATGCTAAAGATCAAGTGATGCAAAAAGTGAGTTAATTAGTTACTCAATTATCGTGTTTTTACTCAAAAGTGGCTAAAACCTCGCTAATATCAGGGTTTTCAGCTAGCTTTTTCGTAAGCTAATTGATAATTTGTTCGAATATTTTAGGTTGAAGAAGCAAAAAACATTATTGCTGATACCACCGAAACAGCCAAAGAGAAAACTGTTGAGTCTACAAATACATCCGCTAAAGAAATTGAGCAAAATACAACTTCCATACCATCGACGGTTTCACAAACAACAACCCAGACAACCATTACTGAAGAAACAAAACCAGTTTCCTTCGAGGTTGATTTGAAGACAGCGAGTGATAATGCGGATGTTTCGTTAAAAGTGACGCCTATGCAGCAAGTACAATCAAATGTCGTGTCACAAGATGCGTACGTTGCACCAACACGAAAACAATCTGTTAGCAAGGGCTGGAGTTTAGCAGGATGGTTTCGTAAACTTTTTCGTCCAAGTGAGCGGCGAAAATCACAATCGAGTATACCACCAGTAACGACTACTACAAGTACAACAAGCACTACAGACGTGTCACAAACAAACCCGACAACGACAATAGTAGAAACACCGGCAACATAGTGATTTTTATCTGCAATAACAATGGTGGGCGCGAGCTTATTATTATTTACTGTTCACTTTTCTGGCATTTTCCCCTTGAGCTGATGATTATTCGGCTGCAATTGAGCTTTCTTTGGCCTCTGTTCAGTTTCGTCTGTATACAAAGAAAATGCGTGTGTATGTGTGTGATCTTGCTTTCAGATCATAACTTCACGATAATACTTTCCCTCAGTTAACTAATATGAGTTGAACAATAGTTTCATCTCAGCGAGATTTGATCTTTCTGTGTTTTCGCTGAAAATCAGTTTGTTAATTTAATTTCTCAGCTTTTTTTTCCCGTCTATTCAGCTTAATGACATTTACGTGTTGGTTGTGAGCTATAAGATGGTATACTAAGATAAATTTTTGTTGTGCACTATTCCATGATTTATGCCTTATATTCATTACTTATACTAAGTTTTCTTCTGTTGTCTGAAAAGAATGTGTTGTTTTGTTGGTGATTATTTCCTGCCATCCTCCTTAATTTGTGAGGGGGATCCTTTTTTACGAATTAGATATATATTTATACATAGATCGTTTCTCTTTCGCTATAAGTCACAACGAGTACGAATACATGTTGTTTATCAGAGCCGAATAATTCGTCATTCGATTCGATTATATTTGATCTCTAACCGAATCGAACCGAACTGAATTTGATTTCAATCGAATCCAACTAGACAGTTTAGTTAACGAGCATGATGTTTTTTGTTCATCAATATAAAAACCTTTTGCTGTCTTCTTGGGTGATGTAACAAAATCAAAAACTGTTTCCAAATTTGGCTCGTTTTACGAAACGATATTTCTGATTCATTATGACTCAGCTGCGATTAAAGGAGGATTTAGCGCCGCTGGCCAGATTATCAACCAACGTCGCTCAAGCTTAGATGGATCGATAGTCAATAATATGTTACTTTTACGTTCGATATCAAATAATAAATGAAGGACTAATCCTAACAACAAGACATTTCTTGAGAATATTCTGTTCTTTGTTTTGCTTTTGTTCGTATTTGAAACTTCGGGTCACAGCGATGACAGGTTCACTCGAGTGTGCTAACTTGAGAGAGTATATCCTGAACAGATGTTTCAATCAGATAAAGGGAATATAGCTTCCATCTTGATCGAATTAAGTAGAATCGAACGGATTCAGCTTTGAAAATGTTCTTCCGAATTCAGTCACATTTTCCTGATTCGTTTTGAGCTCTATTGTCTATTCATAAGTTTCACTCTACTTCTATCTTCAACTACGTGTATGAAACAAGAAGAAAACGTGGAGAGAGGACATGCAAACCAGATCTATGGTTATGAGAACCATTACGGTGTCGTAGCTGAATTTGAATTCATGAGCCCGAGTTACGCGAGGTATGTCCACCGGTTCATTTACGACAGTCGTATCCGGTCGACTATAAAACGAGGGAAGAACAGAAGAATCTGTATCGTGTTCTGTTGTTGTAGCCGATTGACTAGCACGCAATACTTCATATGTTCCTGGACCAGGTGTTCCTTCATTCTTTTGAAAAAATCTTGATACTTTATTTGCTAGAGTACTTTCACCCTGAAAAAACAGACAGAATACTAATATTATAGAAAATATCTATATCACTCTTCACATCGATTCTTATATAATAATCTTACCAGAAATGTCTAAGTCTCTTATCAGTATCTTACAAGATTCTTATCGGAATCTTAACAGTTCTTTATATAAGATTGTTTAAGATTTCTCAGTTGTAAATGTGTTATAAGAATCTTATAAGATTTTCATAAGAGACTCGTAAAAAATTCATAAGGAGTATCAAACTATGAAGTCTTCCGGCCAACAGAAGCAGCCTAATCAAAACAGAAACCACCAAAAACCCACTCATAAGCTGCTTTGTAGTAAATAAGACTAACATGAGACTTTTTGGTACTTCTTATGAATTTCTTAGGAACCTCTTATGAAAATCTTATAAGATTCTTATACGACACTTACGACTGTCGATGGAAAATCCTAAACAGTCTTATATAAGAAACTAATAAGATTCCGATAAAAATCTTATCAGTTTTATCAAACAAATTTTGTGCAGGGCAAATCCTGCGCAGGGATGACTAAGGAAGTGTAATGAAAAATTGATTCAAGACTGTTGCACAGAATATTGCAATTAAAGTGGCACTGGATAAACAACTATAGAAGTATCTCTATCTGAGCAAATTAGCATTTACAAGATGCCATATATTGTAACAGCAATGTTTACTGTAGCAAATATTTCGATCCTTTAAGTATAAAACAAAATTATTCCAACTGATCGCCAAGATTTGTAGCGACAGGTTGAAACAAAATCAAGATATCGAAAGCAAGGTGTCTCCTCAAGAAAAATACATTCTTGCTTTTTAGTATTTTACGTTTGACTTTCTAAAATACCTTACTGATTTTTCCAGAGATTTGAGTTACTCTACGACTATCCTACCATGCCCTTTCCTTTCGATTATAAAATTGATCAGCACAGCACCATGGGTTGGCTACTGTTATAAATCGCTCATGTCTTCTCCATTCCATTCCAAAATCAGCTGCTTATCAAATGTTCACATGCTTACAAGAAAGAAGCGCCCTTATCTATGATTAATATGCATAATGCTCAGTCACGTGAGGTATCATTGTCGTCCTCCGCAGTGTAATATTCAACGGATCATACGTCTGTTTAAGCAAACAAAGCATATTACAATGTTGTGTCACCTCTCATGCTTACGTCGGTAATTCTTGTTAGTTTTTTCGTTTACTTTATTTCCTAGGACAAACAACAGCAAAATATTAAATGGCAAAAAAATATGCAGAAAGAAAGGCATAAAAGAAAATTACCCATTT